GTGTCCCCTAGCGGTATCTCAAGATGTAGGTGTTGTGGTCCTGCCTGGTGAAGGGTTAGTTGAGCTTGATTACGCGGAAGATATCATCTTGTTTTTCGATGATGTTGCGGCGGCACAAGCAATCCTGAATAGCCTGTCTCGTTATATGGTGTGCGTTTCACACCTTCAAAGTGCAAAATGTTGCTGCAGGAACATCAGCCATTTTATGACCCCTTTAACTATGATAACGAGGATCTCCAGCTGGTTGATCGATTCACTTACCTTGGCAACTGCATCAGCAATGATGGGTGCGTAGAAACTGAGGTCAGATCGCGCATCGCAAAGGCCAGAACTGCCTTCTTGTACCCGCGGCATCTTTGGCGATAGAAGGGAATTTCTTTCCGTCTGAAAGGCCGTGTATACAAGGCCACAGTAAGGGTCGTCTTGCTCTAGGGGAGCGAGAGGGCCCCTTCGGTCTGAAGATCTAAGACGCCTTCAAATCGTTGATCATCGTTGTCTGCTAAGCATTGCTAGTGTCGGATGTCACCAGCGTGGCCGCAACGATGATGTGCGTAGGCGAGTACTAGGTAGTGATAATCATGCTAGCTCCCTAGAACAACAGATAGCACTGAAGAAGTTGCGTTGGCTTAGGCATGTGTTACGTATGCCTGGTCACCGCTTACTTAGGAGGTCTTTGGTCAGTCTAACAGGTGTAGGGTGGCGCAAGACTCCAGATGGACAGAAGTTGACTTGGCAGCGGAAAATGAAGTCAATGACGTTGCCGTTGGTCCGTCTCGCCCTCCATGATGGAGTTCACGTGACTTGCCTTGTGCTTAGCTCGAGACTTTATAGGACATGGCTCGCAACCGACACCAGTGGCGCGTCTGCTGCCGTCTCCTTATCGGATTGCCTGTTTAATGTGTGCTTGGTGCTGAGTTATCTGCGGGGTAATGACTGATTATGACGCGGGGCAGTGAAAGCCGCAAGGAAGCTGTCTCGCCGATGCCGCCTTATCTTTGCACGATAGCCAGCTGTTTGTGACGGTATGTTATTAACACAAGGTGTAGGCGCCTTGACCCTGAATGTTTGCTTAGGGCATTAAGGTTTTCAGGTAAGTCACCCTTCTCTCCCTCTTATTATTCTTTATTTCATAGGTCCTCATGGTTGTATGGCAGCGAAGCATCAGTTCAAATGGCTGATGTACTGTTGTTGTTATCCTTTTTGTATGAGAGGTAAGCGAGAGTTCAAGTGTAAATGGAACCACCAGGCAATCAGTCGTGTGTGACTACTTATGATCTTCTTGATCACCCGTTCTCTGCACTAGCATATCTCGACCATTTCACCTGGGCCGAGAGTGCTACCTGTGTCCAAGCATTTTGGTTCGGATGTCACATCGTGTTGCCGCTGTCGGTAAATCAAAATCGAGGACTTGTCTGAATCTGAGTGCGCAACACAGAGGCACTTGACCTGGCTACATTGACATCACATTGCAACCTGCAATACTTCACGGTGTCAGACGAGATGAAATGTAAAATGACCCATCTGTCAAGTGGAAGCGCAACGAGACACGAATAGATTATCGCTACCCCTAATTTGGGCGAGTCGCAGTTTGACATAAGCATTAGATAATACTGTCACGCATGTGAAAATGCGATCAGTCTCTGAAGCGAAAATGTTGCGTTTACAAGTGTTTCTAAATGGCTACGATTTGGTCATTCAGGATATATATATATATATATATATATATATATATATATATATATATATATATATATATTAGCAATCTGATAACAGGCAATGCGCCATCAGAACCACGGATAACAAGAGGGAAAAACGAAGTACCATAGCAGAAAAGAATTTTTTGGGCTTTACACACGCTTATATGAGAGTTTGTTTTGGAGTTTTGCGTTCCATTAGACATTACCTGATAGATGATGCCGTAGAACAACACTGTCGCTACTGATTTCTGTTGCGCGTCATATCCACCAACGTTTCAAACCACTGGCGCTCCGAGTCGCGTGGTCCCCATACTGGAAGGCGGACCTGTTCGACGGATGTTACACTTGAGGATGCCTTCTTCATGCTTTTTCTCCACTTGATTGGTTGTCCACTGAAGCGATTTTGCCAATCGTCTCCGGGGAGCGCAAATAAGGCGATAGACTGGCATGCGTAAGATGTAGCCGAGCCAAGGCATGCGGTGTCGAAGAATAACGTTTTGGAGATCTGGGCTGTTTGCTCCAAGCACTCGGCATCGGATTTCCGTGTTGGTTACGTAATGTCGCCATCACACGTGAGCAATCATACACAGAAAAAATTGTCAATAACTGCATGTCTTCCAAGCGAATAGGACAGGTCTCACAGCCGTACAAGCGGATCACACGGACAGAGGCTATGTACACCCTGCCCTTCAACTTGAAACTGACATCGCGACGACACCATAGATGTCCCGGTCCGATGAATACAAGGCAAACCTTTGCAATCCGTTGTAAACCCCATCTCTAATAACGCCACCAGCTGTGATGCAACTCTCTAGATAAGTGAAGCAGGGAACTTGTTCCAGTATGTCTCTAGCGATGGTGTGAGCAGACATTGGCATCTGCCAATCCTGAAGTAGTAGTTTACATTTGCCTGGGGTTAAATACAAGCCATATTTAGACGCCTCCACTAAGAGATTCAAAGTGCTACAGACTGTTTTTGAACGTCTTCAAGCAAAGCGATATCATCAGCGCAGTTGAGAGAAGCGCAATAACGTAGTTTTGGACGCCTTCTGATGCTCGTTGGACATCATCAGCGGCAAAATGGTAGGGGGAAGGGAAAACAGGGTAACTTTGGTGAACGCCGCTGACGACAGTAAACGAAGTGGGAAGTGACGTAAGCTCTGAGTTTGCCCGATGTGACTGTAGAAATCCTTCAAGATGGTCATAAACTTATCGGGCATACATTTCCCCAGTAGACAGTTCTACAACGCAGATCTACCTGCGGAATCAAGTACCGCTCAGATGTCTAAGTACACTACGACTGTTGGAATTCGGTGGACGTAACGGAGTTCAAGAAGTTAGCGGAGTATGAAGATTTGGTCACTGCAACCTCGGCCTGGACGAAAACCTGCTTGTTCCTCTCGGAAAAAGGCCTTGCTAGTCGCTGAAAGCCTATGGAGTAGAACAGACAAGAGAATCTTGGACGCAACAGAGATCAACGAAATACCGCGGTAATTGGCACAATCCTCGAGGGAGCCTTTCTTGTGAATTGGGACAATGCAAATGGAACTTTCTCGTCAATCCAAATTCTTTTGAACAATGATAGGATTTCGCCGACAAGTGCATTCCAGCTATCTTTGAATAGCGTATGGAGCAGGTTGTCAGGACCGGGAACTTTATAATGCATCAAAGATCGGATTGGGTTCTGGATCGTTGCTTCGGTAAGGGGATGTGGGGAGGCCAGGTACCATCTGAGTAAAACGGAGGTGACAAAGTAGGTGGTGCTGGGTAGTTAAATTGGAAAGCAAAGTGCTCTGCGATCCAAGTGCCTGTGTAGCTTAGTGATTTCCGTGCCGTCTGACTCACAAATTGTCTGCCTGATAGCGTGTGAATGATAACCAGTGGTCTTGATGTGGCAAAACAAACCGCCAATGAAGCAAATTTCATCACAGCAGCTTGTTTTGACTACTAGGATTCAGTCAGAGCGAAGGCTTCATTCCAGCTGTGGAGAGATAGATCGAAGGAGTTCGGTGTGCTCAGCAGCAGTTGGCATCGCAGTAATCCGTTTTGGATTGAAACAACTTTTAAGTAACCTTGTCGAGTGTATTTTCAACCGCATGCACTGTTTTCGCCGTTTAGATTTAAACAACTTACTAATCCGTCTATAGATAGCATCAACACTGCGATGGCTGGCAAGCGTGATAATCCATGCGAGTCACAAGATATGTGCCATTCTCTATTCATGTGATTCGAAACAGTAATGAATTTGTCGAGATATATACCTACCCAGAATAGGTAAACAAAGAGGAATACATAGGGACACAAAATAAACCAATGTCCGTTTTCGCGGCTTCATGCGAACACACTTGTAACTCTGTGCATACCATGGACTGGCTCAGACTTAAGCAGGAATAAGGATGGCCCGCAGCGAAGGTAATTTTCGTGCTTCATCAACTGTACGCCCTAACTCGCACTCTTTATACATATGAGAGCAAATACGATAGGTTGCTATCTATAATATATATATACCTGACTAATAAACAATTAACAGAGTACCGTAACACATGGATAACAACAACGAAAGGGGGGAAAAGAGGCAGTCAGAGGAAGGGATACTTAGGTTTATGTATTGTGTGTGCAGATAGCTTACCGGTTACCCAGGTCAAGAGGTGGATTGACTTAAGTGACACCACGCGGAGTCTTTAGTCCTAAGGACTTGACCCGCAAGGCAGCGGAGCGATTAACGAATGTCGTTGGTACGCCCAACCGGCCGCTGAATACGAAGACCGTTGACAGCCAGGTGGTTCATTCACCTTGCTTGTATTCGGTAGCAGTTCACACAGAAGCCAGTGGTTAGCAACGTTGTTCATCGCCCACCGTTATGTACTCACCTTTGTTTACAAAAATGAGTGCCCAGTGACCCTATAGCCGGTCAAACTGGCTTTGACACAGCGCCATATTTTTGATATTTGATGCAGAACTAGGTGACCAGACCAGAACTCTCCACGCTGAGAAACTGTCGCTGACTGTCCGAGAGTGTTCGTTTATCTCGCCTGCAAAGCAAACGAGACTTATTCGCAGGTAACTACACAAGAAAGGCATTCAACAACCCGCAACCTGGGGAGGCATCCGGTAGTTTCGACACGGGCCTATCTTTACTGCACACCACTATTTTTGTATTATCCCTTAATAGTAGCCATGTTACTTGTTACGGTCTACTTTTCACTCAGACGCTTCTGGGTTAAGACTGCAATTTAGTTGCATGACTGAAACTTAAGTCAGCACCAACAAGTCACATGGACCAGCTGGCATACCATTTTGAACTGATTATCGATCACTCCACAAAGCCAAGTAGACTTTTTCGGCCGACTCTTCAATAAATGGCCACCCAAGGATCTTCCGTAGAGGAAAATGCGGACGTTGGTCAGCAAATTGAACGCATACAAAACCACAAGAATGTACAAGGTCTGATATTAGTCAACCCTGAAGGTAATCCGGTCCGAACAAATCTGGACAACTCCACCTCGTTGCAATATACAAGACATATGGATGAACTACGAGCTATAACGGAACACGCGGTCCGTGACCTGGATCCAAGGGACGAGCTGGTTGTACTGCGCATTCGAACCAAATTCAATGAAATAATGGTCCTTCCAGGTGAGTTCGGAACCGCAGTGGACTGTTTTTATGACTATAGTGAAAATGCGTAAATAGCAAGACTGAGAGACACACGAGTTTCCTCGTCAAATGAGATGAACTCCGCAATCCGCCTATTGCGCTGTGGCAACACGAAACTGACATGTTAGGAGGATAAAACCACAGATTTTTTCTATGTGGAAAAACTCAATGGTGTGGTGCGACACAATACAGTGGATGATATCACGTGATTAGCTCTACCGCATTATGTGGAGCAGAGTGAAATAAGTTACAGCTCATAAATGTGCACGTTTCATCTCACACTATGGTGTGATTTGACCGTACTCGCGCTTTCTGGCATTTGGCGGAGAAGCACCGATCGCAAGTGCAGATAATGTACACGCTCTCAGAATGTCGCATGGAATCGCAAAAGGTGAATTGTGAGGCGTCGGTGTTTATGCGCTGAAATAGGGCGCAGAGAACCACACTAGTGGAAGGAATATCCGTGAACGGTAGAAATGAAATCAAAAGGTCGACCATGGAGTACCGAAGGTAGAAGAAGCAGAAAGAACCGAGTATGACTGCAGCAGGTGATGAGCACAGGAGTAACCAGCCATGACGTAGTGATTGGTCTTGCAACATAAACCCAAATTGTACTTAAGCAGACATTCTGTTATAGGCGTATAGCCAAGTTCGGGAAAGAAACGCAAATCGACAGATCGGTGCATCGGAAGCCCCGCAATTTAACGGATGTGACTGATCTAGTCGACTATGTGCAATTTGCAAGACCAAGTCCGAGTTTAGTTAATAATAATGTGAATAATGCCGTAAGAAGACGAACACTGGCAGATGTTAACATTTCGTATTGTCTCTTCAGTGCCAACACAATAACATGAAAATATATAAGACGACAGATAGGGTGAGACCGGAATAAGTTAGAACAGGGTAGAGGGGCAGGCGTGACATCCCTACGCCCAGGGCAGCCGTAGGCTTACGAACAGCTGTTTCTGCACAGAGTGCGGGTTTGATACGGCTGATCGCGACTGCCTCTGCAAAACGTAGGAAACGGGTGTTAGTATGTCTTAACACGATTGTAAACATTGTGGCCGGATCAAACTGGTGACAGGTGGCCAGTAAATGCCTACCTATGGATGAAGCAGGTGGTTTACGTGAACAGATGGTATGAGCAACCGACGACTGAGTGATTTGACGCTGCAACCATTTAGGTACATGTTCCCTTATTCTGGAATTCAACGATCGATTGGTACGGCCTATGTAGTGTATACCACAACTACAAGTAAATTGGTAAATGCAATGTGAGTTGGCGCCAATAGGTTGTCTTTCCGTCATTGGGGTAACAGGTATTCGATTAGTCCGGTTGATAAGGACAGTTTCAGCAGCATAATAAGTCCTCTGGACTGCGGAAGTTATGCGCTTCGTTGTCCTCATATTGGCAAAATCTCCCTTAAATGGTAGCTCGATGTAGATCTTCTTTTTAGCCACTGTCGATACCTTCTGTCCCGGCACCCTCGCCTGACTATGTTTGTCGATGAACCTACTTGGATAGCCATTTTTCAACAGCGAGTTTATCTCATCATCTAAACTGTCGGTAGTGCATATTTTCCTTGCACGGTTGGATAGCGTCTTGACTAAGGTCCGCTTGTACCGCATTGGAGCGAAACTGGTAAAGTGTAGGTACTGCCCTGACCAAGTCGGTTTTCGGTAAACCTCTCTTTTGATGGACCCATCTGCTCTTCGGCGAATCAACACGTCCAGATATGGAAGGCAGTTGCATTTCTCTGTTTCGTTGGTTACTTTCAGATTCGTATGCACGTTATTCAGGCGATCGACTAGACGCGCAATGTGCTCCTCTGATGAGCTAAACACTAAAATATCATCCACATATCGCTTATAGTAGGAAAGCAGCGATATTTCCACACTCAACTTCTTTTCAATCATCGACATGAAAAAATCTGCTAGTACTGGGCCCAACGGACTACCCATTGCCACCCCATCTATCTGGCGATAAGGAATGTTTTGGAATTGGAAACCGATGTTCTCAGTACATAGTAGTAAGCTGTCCTTTAATAATTCGACTGGCATTGGAAGAGTAAAATCGGAGCACTCTGCCATTTCACACACGTAATCAACTGTTTCATGTAGCGGAACATTGGTGAAAAGCGATTGTACATCCAATGTGGACATGACTTTATCGGATAGGTTAAACTCATCTAAAGCCTCTGTAAGTTCGAAAGAGTCCTTCAGACGGTGTGGGATAGTCTGCAGCTTTAACGGCGAAAGAACTTCTACCAGCCAAGGAGCCAACTTATGTTGTGCCGAGTTTGCCATTGACAAGATTGGTCTAAGCGGTATACCACATTTATGGGTCTTTGGAAAACCGTATAGCTGAGGTATGTTGGACCCTCCCGGTTTTAGGTTGTTATATACCTCTACCCTGTTCTAACTTGTTCCGGTCTCACCCTACCTGTCGTCTTATATATTTTTGTTATTGTGTTGGCACTGAAGAGACAATACGAAATGTTAACATCTGCCAGTGTTCGTCTTCTTACGGCATTATTCAAATTACTAAAGGGATCTAATTGTTTCAAATAATAATGTGATCGAAAGATCAGAGGACGGTGAAACTGGTTACACAGAGTCGCATCGATATAAGAATAAAAACTAACTGCGATGAAGAAAGAGGACAGAGAAAACGGGTGGTCGCTCTGTAGAGGAGCGAAAAGTGACTAATCAATCGAGGCTTCAAAGATTAGGGACCAATGATGTGATCTTGAGATCTAGGGGGCGCCAATGTGTGGGATCAGGCAAGCGAACCCACAGGTGGAAGGCGACTAGCAAAGTCACCAACACATGGGCCAAAGTGGATTGGAGTCACATGTAAATGCAGTATTCATGAAAGAGGAAGGGTAGGCTAACTTCTATGTAATTTATAAGTTAGACAGACAATGCTGACCGCAGAGCAGCATAATCCCGATGCACATGCTTCGGTGGATCAGGCATTTGCTTCGTACGTTTGTAACCTCTGCTATCGCTCATTGTTGTCGACCGGAAGCGACAGAAAGTGGGAAAGTGAACAACTTGAGTCCACGCTTTCAAGGTGCTAAATACTAAAATTGTGGGCGAAAGCACTGTGAGCGCAACTGTGTATGGCACGGAAGCTTACTGAATGTTCACTGTTCCCATAACTGTCCTTTTCAGTGTTTTACGCGTCTTATTGCACCCTCCATATATATATATATATATATATATATATATATATATGTATATATGATGACAACTGATGCGGGTACCACTATGCCGATCCGCGCATGGACCCAATTGCGTTCGGTACGGTCACATGTAGCCGAAATAATGTGAGGGGTGCTGGTAAAAATTATTGACCCCATTCTGGTATCAGTACCAAACGTGCTGACCCATCTTACCTCCTTCTTTTTTGTTACAGAAAAAGGGTGTCTGGTGGTGTGTATACAAGCCCGTGAGGACCACATCGAAGATGTCCAAGGTTTTCAAACGTAGAAGAAACCACAGCCGAAACAGTCGCGCAGTGAATGTAACAAAAAACAGGAATGCAATAAAATTGTCGTTGAAATTGTACTGTGTCAGGCAGTGTCGGTATCCAATGGGTACACATGAGACAACACCAGTGAGATGAATGCAACGCCTCACATCGAGTTAACTGCAAATGAGATTAAGACATGAGGGAGGAGGAGAGCAGTTATCGTGGTGCGTGGATAGAGGCTGGTAATGAAATACCACAAACAAACAAAAAACGGATCGACAAAAGATTCAAGAGAGAAGAATTTATGTTTCGCCTCAAGTTTTAGACAAATATAGATCAATCGATTAATGTATACCAGAAAAAGCGTATTAGAGTAGGCCAAGGATATCGACATTGATCCTAACAGTTCATGGAAAGCTCTACAAATGCAAAGAGGCAAATTCATTAAACAACACAAAGCGGTTTGATGTTCGTGATCAGTAAAATTCGCGGTCAACAAGTCTTCGAGGAGAAAAATACCGTGGTATATTAAGCAAATCTGAAGAGCAATTTCAACGACAGAAAAAGTATAATTTACTGAAAACCGTTGTGCAAATCAACGGGTGCGCTTATTAAGCAATTCACAAACACCACTATTGCATAACGTCAAATGAATGAGACGGAAATGGCAGCCCCAAAAGGAAAGCATAGAAACAGGGCAGGTAAGCGCACGATAGATTGGCCGTATGATTGGTGCATTTCCTAGTTAGCACCTGGAGAATAGACCCTGAACCCACCCGAACTTCAACACAAAAAGGAAGTAACAGCTGAGAAGAATAGGTTATAGCAAAATGAAATCGGTATTATAGAAGTAATTATCGTAGACAGTCGAAACAACAAGCCAATACATCTATTACAATGCCAGATGAAGGACTATACCGGAAGAGTTAGGTGTAGCCGGTAAGCATCAGTTCAAATTCATAGAGCCCATAGCTTCTTCACTCCAGTGATGAAACCCACATCGTTGTAGTTGAAGTAAAGCAGACCGGCAAAACCGACAGCACAAAAGGCTTTCCAGAAAGTCTGAAGAATAGGCATTAGAGCAGGTCCATAACGGCGTTCAAAAGCATAATCTTTTATTACTCCGTCTAGACCCCTGAAACAAAGTAGGAGAAATCAACAAAATAAAAGATGCAGCATCAATCCGTGGGTTGAAGACTAGCATGGATAAAAGGCATAAGGGGGATAAAGGTAGTCAGCGGTTGCTCGGAGAGCGAGAGAGTCGTCTCCGTGTGTGGGACTGAGCATAGAAGTGCAACGGGTCCAACAGTCCCGACGGGTGTCGTCATGAAAACAGAGGAGACTAGCAATCGGAGTAGAACGCAAACCACAAGCAAATCCAGCTACAAAAGGAATCAGGCTACACAGAGTGAAAGGCTGGGTGCATGAACAACACTAGTCTAGCGGCTACACCACATGGGAGATCAAGTGGATGACTACTTAAGTGGCCGACTAGAAAGCTTATATCCATCCATTGACACAACATGCCCTAGTGTGACCATTGGTCAGTTCTCACATGCCCTCGATCCACGTCACTGATTAAAGACCATAGAATTTCATCGAAACAAGCGCAGCAACAGCAAACAATGAAAGAAGTTATCAGCAGTATGCCGGTACACTGTACTGACGCTTCGCTGCTACGCAACCACCACCGGTCGCGCGTAGACTGCGTATACCGCGAGAACAATGACCCTACACCGATTGGAACAGGTGACCTAAGGATTGCGAGCCAGGCGTACAATGCATTCGGCAGACGGCAGAACAGCAAGTAAATAAATAAATGGTAAATTTGTATGCAATGTGAGACCAGCTACGTGATTTGATCATTTTGCAAATGATCCCAAGTTGCACGTTGGATAACGATACTGCAAGGATCGCCCGATCCCTACGAAGGCTCAAATCCGCGCCATCGAAATACCAGGCAGGTTTGTGATGCGTAAGGTTAAAGCACGGCAAGGCATCAGCAATACGTCGGTACGCAGTACCGATGCTTCGCTGCCACGCAACCACCTCATGATCGGATAGCGTAAAAATTGTTCGAGACACAAAGTATTTCCAAAAGTACCTGTTAGGATCCGAATTCTTGGAAGATACTTGGAACCGATCGAGTAGTCATGAGTTCAGAGAGGTTTGGAAACAACCGGTGGGCATAGGATGTTCTATCAGTGAAAATAAATAAAAAGGCCATTGGTGGAACCGTCTCACGTAGGATTATCCCTCGAGAGGTTTCATCCGCCATTCTACGCCCCAGCTAGACAAGTGCTGAGGTGGCGAAAAAGCAACGCGGTGCGGACGAGTAGTATCGGAGAAATACCGTTTAGATAGTACAATGGTTCGAACAGGGAAAATATACGGATCTATTTGCGCAATTCCTTTGTGGTGTCGTTCTGACACTCCGTTCCGCCGCATACCTTCATTCAAAACGTATTGGCGGTAGTTGTTTTGTGCACTACGTCACTTCGCACGTAGCGGCTCGTGATTTCACTGATATCCTCATCGCCTGCTCGTTTTTAGTCATACTACTCATTAACAGTGCACCACAAGCCGTCAACATGTCGACGCATAATTTTAAACCGCTGTAACAGACCGAGCACTGCCGCTATCCAGTCAACTTCAAATAGCAGCTGATTCGAGTCCCGTAGATTTGATATTCGCCAATGAGTCCGTGGCAATTCGCTTTGTGTCGGTCAAGACGCAGACAACAATGGAAAGAGAAATACACGGAAATGGAATGAAAGAACAATGACGATAAACAAATGGCTTATGCCCCACGTTAGTATGATTCGAAATAGATACAAGAATCACAGAAAACAAATATCCACCCAAAGCGTTCATAAAAGGTCTCAGAAGAATATTGTAATAGACCCAACAACTGCAGGTGATCGAAAATGAGGAAAATTGATACCGCAGATCCACTCTCCTGGGCGCTGAGAACTGCTACGGGCATCCAAGTTGTTGATACCCGGAAGAAAAAACAGTTGACAGTGCAAAACAAGTGTCAATAACGGAAAATGCTCTAAGACAAATTTCCACCTAGGTAGGATTGAAAATGGGGTATGTGGATAATGCTCCCGTTGAGAATGATTCAAAATCATTTAAAACTGCTGCCAAATTACTTTCGCAACGAGCAAAGGGAATCAAAGTCTGACGGAGTGAAAAGTACGTTGCGTGCTTGTATTCTCCGACCCTTAGGAGCATAGCTCCTCGATCGTTACCTCTCGTCTGAATAATCTAGCTGCATTCAGCAGAAGAAATTGAGTTACTTCGTTTTGAACTGGCTGATAGACAGACTTGCTTTTACTGAGTGTGGCAGTCGGTTCCAAATAACAATATATTGCCAGCTACATGTAGTCGTCTTTCCTAGATAAGTAGCTGCAGGAATTGCCCAGACGATGCCAACAGTGCATCTATGTTTCAAGGGTGTCACAAAAGTCGGAGCTATATTCATGGCCAACATCAACAAAGCCGTGGTGTCGTGTTCATGTTGGCTTCCCAAGTCCGATCAACAGCCATAGCCTCCCCAGTGTGGTCGACCTTAACAGTGAATGGTCCGAAGTATTCTTCATAGAGAGCACAGCACAAACGAAAAAAGTTTCAAGAGCATCAGTGGACGACATTGCAGCATTGATTTCAGGATTCGTTATCTATGGTCCGTAGTCCAGTGGTAACGAGCTTGTTTCCTAACCTTGCGGCGCGGATCCGAAATCGCGCAGGGGGGGGGCGTCCACGTGGTATACTCAGCCTGCGTGTAACTGGTGGTGGTCGCACGGCAACGAAGCGCCGTTATGGCGTAAAACCGACACATTACCTTACTTTTACTTTATCCATGGACTGAGTAGTTATATTCGGATTACGGTGGGAAGATTTGGCGATTATTTTTGGGCAGAACTAGCTGACTAGGATGATGCAGGAAACTCCGGCTATTTTTAAGAAAACTTGACGTACTTCAGAGCTCATCAAGATCTTGATACATCCGAGACCCACTGGTAACAGACATGCATATGCGTTGTGGTCTACGCACCCGTGTATCGAAAACGTACGCGGCTTTCGGTAAGCTGTAGTACCAATTATGGAGGAACCAACAGCTAACCTTCGGAATCAAGATGATATATAAAGCGATGGTGATGGGCGTCTTCCTCTGCGGCAGCAAAGCACAGAAGCGATGTAGAAAAGACATTTGATGTCTGATGCGAATTCATCTGTAGTGACTGCCCCAGATTCTGTGCATCCGCTGATTTGGCCGGGTAGTTCACACAGAAACACTCCGCCGGAGTCGCATGTACGGGATGGATAGCATGCTGCGACTACGACAACTGAGATGGCTCAACATGTCCGCTGTATGAATAATACTGGAAATCCGATACATTTACTGCATAACCAACGGAGTGCAAGTAGGCGAAGTGTCCGTAAACCGAAGCGATGCTATGTGTTGGGGTCAACTGGCAGTGGATCGCCGCCAATAGCGTGATCACATCAAGAATACCGTTGAATAAATGCACGAGAAATGACTGCTGCACAGGAAAGAAAAACTAGGGTTATGCGAGTGTCAGGTGTCGAGCCGCTGCTGTAGAACATGCGACCGTGCGTCTTAGCCGAACCAGTTTGCTAAGTCACCAACATGGCCCCGAAAGGTAAGTAACGAAGAGGCGACAAGCAAGTTGAATGGTTAAGCGTCAGCGTATGGTAAATACGTTTCCGTTTCCATTTATCAATCCAAGCCAATAATTCGGCAGATGTAGCATGTGTGCTGCATCGTCACTGTAGTTGCACCGTGTTATGGGTAACACACGCTCCGGGTGTCAAAGAAGAGATCGACCGCCAGCTGCCAAAGTCGATCGAGAATGCCATGAAGCGTCACTAGTTATCTGGTTTGCCGGATCTCATTGAAACGGTATGCCGTATAAATTGACAATTTCTGAATTTGCTCGTTATTCGAGTCCGGAACCCAAAGTCTCTTGCTTTTCTAATGTCACAGCTAACACCCAGACGAACTCGACGCGAGTGCTCTAGCATTTTGCTTCAAGATGATATTGGTATTGGATCACGATTGCACTTGAACAGTGAGGAATCAGAAAAAGGGAACTCATCCCACAGACTGAAGTTAGGTGTCAACTGCTGAAAGCAGCACATGGCCACCCGTGCAGAATTATATGTCTCAAGGCCATACTTGAATGATCAGCAGGACGGAACTGGTTGAGGCTTCATCGCCCGTAACGTATGCATAAAAGCAGCCCTAAATAGAAAACAACATTTGTTAACAGGTAATGGCTTATATGTTGCTTTGCCACACCTGCACACGGCAAGATAGAGCGTCGAAATGCGGATGAAATCTTTCGAGAGAATACCCTGCATGGAAGCGGGTCCGCTGTGGACGGTTCCACTGATGGCCGTATAACATTACTTGAACGTTTGGTTAAAAGCTGAATTTGCTATTGTTCCCAGCTGTTCTATTTCTCCAATACCTCAAACCTACAAAGTACTTAAAAAATAAGCTTTGGATCCAGTGTATAAAGCATGAACAATTACTTATATTGTGCAATCTTTCTATACACACAGAGCAGACCATATAGATGGACTGTACCTCGCACCGCTGAGAAATATACCATTTATTTATTTATTATCTGTACGATGCCTTTTAGGCAATCTTCCATTACTTCTAAATGCTGTACTAGGCCTGCTACTCTGTCTGCAGATGGGCGTTCGTGACGAACATCAGTGTGCCGGAAGTGTACACAAACCTTCTGAAGCCGGATATACTTACACTGAAGGTGTCGACAAAGGTTGTGCAAGCATCTACCGGTTATGCACACAAATACACAGTAGTTATTCCGCTGAAAGAGCAGTTGTTGAAACCAAACTACGACCCGCGGACCAGATCCAACACGGCAGCTGAACCACTAGTAACAGATGGGCGTCATTCCGGAGAACTAGCAGCTTTCTATAGTGCCGCAAAAAAGTTATATTATGCCAAGGAAATAAGATTGTCGTTAGAAGGGAAGGATAAGCGGGATGGAAAGGGACAAAGAAACTCACAACGCAGACGCCAGAGGTAGGCTTCTAGCTGTCACAACGAGTGTATCCAGCCAAACATGTACA